CAGTGATAAAACAAACAAAAAAGTCCCCCTTAAACAGACAGCTACAGGAGAACCCAGGACGCCTCTCCCGGCTCGGGACGGGGGACGCATCCATCACTGAGGGCTCCTGCTTCGTGGTGCGCTCGCTTCCTACGAGACAGCACTCGACACTCCACACCTGGTCTCCAGTCTTTAAAACTTTGACAGGCAAAAACTATAAGCTCCACCTCACAGATGCAGACACTGTGAGGGAGGGTACCCTTACACAGGACTGTCTGTTAATGGACAACTGGCCCCTGAAAACCCTGAAGTTATCTGTTTAATAGCCATTAATATTGAAAAATATATAAACATGGACTGGACATAAATTTCACACATTTATGTTGACCTTTAGAGAACTCCTGCTCGATAAGTTACTAAGTACAAGGGAACCCACAATCCGAATTCCCCAAAGCACCGTAGAGCATCACTAGCAGAGCGTTTAGCCTGGGACCACTACCAAGCAGGAGTTTTGTTTTTTTTTTTTTTTAATTCTTATTATTATTTATTTATGATAGTCACACACACACACACAGAGAGAGAGAGAGAGAGAGGCAGAGACACAGGCAGAGGGAGAAGCAGGCTCCATGCACCGGGAGCCCGACGTGGGATTCGATCCCGGGTCTCCAGGATCGCGCCCCGGGCCAAAGGCAGGCGCCAAACCGCTGCGCCACCCAGGGATCCCCAAGCAGGAGTTCTTGAAGCGGAAGCTGGACTTCCTAACATGATCGTCCCAACTACAACGTGGCTTTACAGCCCGGGCCTCGGCGTGGACCCTACGTTACTGTGTGTCTGAAGCCGGGTGGGTTTTCCGTGGCACAGGCCGGGAAACAGGACGCGGGGGCGCACACGAGGGCAGCCCCGCTCAGGCTTCACAACTCCAGGCCGCCACTCGCGCGCGGCCTTCGCGCTTCACGGACCACCGGACGGAGGCAAACCTTACAGACTTGGGCTCTTGCTCTCTGGGGAGGAGACCCCGCGGCTTTCGTGGGGTGCCCCGTGGGTGCCAGCGCCTGGCCAGCGCGACCTCCTGGCGAGTCACACGTGAAGATAAAGCTGGAGCGAAACAGAACCTGCCTCCAGCCGCAGCTCCCACAGACGTGGGCTCCCATTTGTGCGGCAGCTCCGCCACATTCGGTTGGCTGCCTTCCCTCACCGATAAAAAGGGATTTTTGTTTCAAGCATTTTTCTACTAAAACTGCAAGTGACAACACTGAGTTGCTCAAAACACTCTCCTCTTTATTTTGGGAGAAGTCAGGCTCAGCCTCCGCTTTGATTTTATTCAAATGTTTTCCTCCTTTCCCACCCAGCAGTGAAAAGCTCACTATTGTAATTAAACATGTACTGGGTTTTCCTCTTTCACACTGCCAATTTCTCACATTTTGAATCACAAATTACCTCAGGAATGTTACGTTACAATGTGCTCTTCTATGGCATTGACAAAGAAAAATTTGGATAAGCAAAGACCTGGGAACTTGTGACACCGGGGGACGCCTTCCTCCCCCTTCCGGCGCTCCCCCCACCCCTCAATGCTCCCAGTGTGGTGTGAAAGGAAACGCCTAAAAAAATAAGTTCTGTGGATATTAACTTTTTGAATCATTTTAAGGTCTCTAAAATACTGCTAAGAACATATACAGTTAACCGTCAAACAAGATGGTTTGAACTCTGGGTCCCCTCACATGTGGCTTTCCCTCCACAGGGGGTAGCACCGTCAACGTATTATCCCCTCCTTGTGACGTGGCAGCGTGTTCCTTTCCCCCGCTGACTACCGTAAGAACACGGTACACACTACACGTACACACTACACGTAACACACGGACTTAACCGACTGTTACCAGTAATGCTTTCTGTCAACAGGAGGCTAGGAGTCCGGAAGTTCTCGAGGGGTCAGAAGTTATTAGTGGATTTCTGGCTGCGTCTCCTAACCTCTGTGCTGTTGAAGGGTCAACCTCACTGAGGTTTTTCATTCTTTAAAGGTAGTTTCAAAGATGATTGCAAATACGTACATACGTATAAATGCATATATGCAATTTTCATTATTTAGATAGTTGTTGCTGATAGAAAGAAAACAGATGTCCATTAGGGAGGAGTGTGGGAATGGCTTCCATTAGTGTGGGCCTCCTCGGGGCAAATGGCACCATCCGTCACATCCCCAATACCCAGCACTCTGTAGGGCACGCCAGGGGCCCAGCAAGTACTTGTGAATGAATGAATGAATGAATGAATGAATGAATACACGAAGGCATTGATGGGCAGGGGTATAAGGAAAAATCAGGAACCAACAAGTTTACAGACTCTGGTTGCAACAAAGAAAGAGTAGGAAGGAGGGTCACTGCCCTCAGGTAGCTGACAGACTGGTTTGGGAAACAAAGCATCCAGGGCCCTGACTCCAGGAACAGCTTCCTCTGCACAGCTGGACCAACCCCAACATACTGGGCTACCAGAAAATGAGAAAGTAGAGAAAAGAGAAAGAGAAGTCCAGAAGTTCCTTGGTTCACAATCTTTCACCTGATGAACACTCAGAGAGATGAAGAGGGCTGTGCCTCAGCACAGACATTTCAACCTGTCTGCCACCCAGGGAAGGGGCCACAGTCCCTCTGGAGACAGGGACAAATGGACTCACAGACAGCCCACGGATGGCGTGGGGAGGGCAGTTGCCGGCAGAGAGCAGTGTTCGCAGGACAATCAGGAGCAACAGCACTGGCCCCCTGAAAGCAGGCCCAGCGCGCAACAGTGTCAAAGCCTCATTTCCAAAGGCTAACAGACAACCCACGCAATGTAAATGAACGCGGGCGCCCCCAGGACGGGAAGCGGGCAAAGGGCACTCAAGAGCTGAAGTTGACTCACATAAGCTATTTTCACTTGCAGACAAACCAGATTAAAGTCCTACAGAGCAGGGGCCCCTGTGGCTGTAGGGCTCAGTGGTTGACTGACTGCCTTCAGCTCAGGGTGTGATCCTGGGGTCCTGGGATCGAGTCCCACTTCGGGCTCCCTGCAGGGAGCCTGCTTCTCCCTCTGCCTGGGTCTCTGCCTCTCTCTGTCTCATGAGTAAATAAAATCTTTAAAAAAAAAAAAAAAGTTCTACAGAGCAATGAAATCAAAACCTTTGGGTTTATTTTCATCAGACAAATAATTTGTATCTCTACCATACAAAAACCTACAAATTAACATGTACCATCAGCGTCTGGGCTCTAATCGAGAGGAACCAGCAAAGGCAGCGAGCTAACTTGGTGAGAAGACTGAACAGCTGGTGGTGACTCTGTTGAACAATGGCCCATGTGACAGCGACAAAACAAAAACATGCAGTCCTCTTTTTCCCTGGCTTCATGTCCAAATCTTAGATAATGTCTCTTCCACTGGAACATGCTGGCGGGGCCTGGGCCCTCAGCGAGGTCCTCCCGTGGCCTCCTCCACGGCATCTCTGCCTCCCCACGCACCTTCCTACAAAACACAAACATACGGGAACCCCTTCAACACAGCAAGCCCCACGGAATGAATACGGACCCCACCCCAGCACACAGGACAGGGTTGGCCCAGAGTGTACTGAGTATGAATGCACATGCCAGGTGAATATGTGAAGCAGGCGTGGCTGCCCCCTGGCTCGGTCTCCAGGCTTCAGAGGACCTCCACCCACGATGCTCTCCTGGACCAGATTTCAAGCAGGCTCCTCTGGGCCCTCCTCTCGACTAGGCTCAACCTTGGGCTTCCATGTACGTCCTGGCTGAGTCTGTTTGGAGAAAACCCCAACTCTTGATGGATGTTCCCTCCCCCTCAAGATCTGATCAAATGCCTCGTCCCCTGGTTTCTCATGGACCCCTTGCTTCTGCTGGCAGGCTACACATGCAGTGTCTGCTGTGTTCAGAGCTGAGCCCTGGTGCTCTCCCCTCGTGCCACAGGCTTAAGTCTCCTTACTGTTTCAGCAAGCGTGGGAACACTTCAACACTGCGGCTCTAGGCTTATTCAAGTGAGAAACGGAAAGCCTATAGCTGTGGTGATGGATGCTGTCTGTGTAGGTACAGATGCCCCGACTCGGGATGTCCTGGAGGGCCCCCCAGCAGTCAGGCTGTGACACTGGCACCGAGATTCAGAAAACTGGTGCCTGGCTGGTGCAGACACGCTGTAGTTGGTAGGGGGACATCTCTTAGCTGTGTCCTAGGGAGAAGGGACACAACGCTAGGCAGTACAACACTGTTAATAAAAGGAAAGGCTCGAGGGAGGTCAAATTCTAATCTCCACTTAATAGCAGTAAAATAGTGAGCAAGTTATTCTATAAACTTCGTTTTTTGTACCCGTAAAATGAGGTTTATAAGACCTACTTCATAAGTTGTGATACAATTTCATTTACGTTACAAATTTATTCATAAAACATATCATCGGTTGCCTGGAGTTTAGTAAAATCGGTCCAGGACCTATCAAAATTCTTAGATTACCTCAAAATCTAAAACAAAACCATAGAAGTTTTAGTGAGGTTTTACGGAAATTACGATTTTTACAAGCTAGTTTCCTTTAGTATAAGGAATATATTTATTTGTAAAAATTTGTTTCTAATTTTAAAACTAGCCATACTCTGCAAAAAATTCAGACAACACAAATGAAAAAAAAAAAAAACAAAAAAACCTACCCATAGTCTCATCTTCCAAATAAAACATCTACAATTTTAGAGTATATATTTCTAGCCTTTACTATGATTCAGCACTTTATAAAACTAGGATACTTTTTTGAAATACACTTTTGTGTCTTAATTTACGTGTGTTAATCCTCTCTTGTGGTGTTGTCATGGATGCATAAGGCCATAAACGTGTGTCATAGCTGGGTACATAAATCTCTAAGTACGTCCTGAGCTCTTCCTTGGGACAAATCTCAGAGAGGAAGCTGCCGAGTCACAGCAGAAGCACGCGGTGGTCCTTTTTCCTTCGACAGGACGTGTGTGGCCTGTAGCTGCCATCCCCGAGTGCTGCAGTCTCCTCCCGCAGGGGCCCAGCTCAGAACCCAGCCCACGGGGACCCCTCGGGCGGAGCGTGGCCAAGGCAAGGCCGCGGGGCGCAGCCAGATCCAGGGGCCGGCGGGCGTCCCGAGTGGGCGCAGCGGAGGGCGGAGAGACGGTGGCCACGAGGGGGCACAGGGCTCGCGGGGAAGGAAGGCTCCGTCAGGCCCGGAGGTGCCGACGTCGTCAGTAAACGGATGTTTCGAAGGCGCTTGACACCTGTTCCGCGAAGGCCTTTAACCTGCAGCGTATTTACGTCCGGAGTGGGCTCCTCGCGCCCGCAAGCTGGGACAGAGCAACCGCCCAGCTCGCAGTCCGGCCAGGAAGGCGGCTGCAGGGAAGAGGGGTGAGGAGAGGAAGCTGCAGCAAGGCCAGGAGCGAGGGGCTGGGCCACGCACATGCGATGCACCTCACCCCGGGGAAGCGTGTCGGGCCCAGGCCCCACGCACGGCCGTCTCTGAAGGGTGCCCTGACTGCGCGTGGAGGGTGGATGGAGTCAAGACTGGAGGGGGCGGCGGCTTGGGGGGGTGCAGCTCGCCACAGCCAGGACTACTCTGGAAAACCCCAGGGGGGCGGAGGCCTAATCCCATAGCAAAGACAAAGGAGGCAGGGACCCTCTTGTGGCCACCACGCACCCACCCAAGAGGAGAGTTCAAAATGCCTATATTTGCTCTGTAAATACTCCTCTAGCATCTTCCATGCTCCAGGCCCTGTGCTGGCAGCTGTGGACACAGCCACCACCAAGACCAAGTCCTGCTGAGACATGCGCCTGAGAGCGGGCATGAAAGGCACAGAGTGTGTCAGGGAGGAAAGCCTGGCTGTGTGTACACGTGTCAAAACGCACCATACTGCACACACCCCGCGGCAGCCTCTCCGGGCCCACAGGCCACGAGAGCTTGCTCAGACTCATGGAAGGGATGCCTGCTGCGCCAGCAAGGGAGGCCAGAGAGCTGGCGCCGGGCAGCACCCGCATGTGTGCTACCCTCGGCACCTGCGTGAGGTCACACAGGGACAGCAAAGCCGGGACTGGACCCCACCTGCCTCTCTTTCACTAGGGCCACACCCCCACCTAACGGCTGCATGAGTGATCCGGCTGCATCTGAGTGATCCGCCTGCCGGCTCCAGTGCCAGGAAGACTGGCCTTCCTGAAGGTTCTCCTGGTCCCAAAAGTACGGCCAGAATTGTGAGGATTGAAGGGCCACCCCGGGACCCACGGCAGCTCGACAGAACCCTTCAAGGACAAGTGCACAAAGTTGAAAACCAGTGTCACCCGCTGGAGACAACAATGCACCTGTGCCTGCAAAAACGTACGCTTCGTTTATCCCGAATCCAACATACATTCATGAGTTAAGCTACCACAGATCATTCATAAGAGGCTTCTTCCGGCTTTTATTTATCATCTATAGACTATTTTTTATTCAGTACTAACAATGAGCTCCTACATCTACGACAGAGAAAACTATGGGAAGGCCATCTGAGGCCAGCACACGGATGCCCACAGCAGTAGGAACTGCCCAGGGCTGACCAGGAGAAAGCAAAAGACACGAAATCTCTAAACGGATAATAGGGCAACAGCTGTCCAGGCCTCAACAAGTCCTATGGTTTACATCACAACATGACAAGCTATGTTTAAAATGTTTACCTGAGATTGTTGAAGAAAGTGTACCCTACATCCTGCACGTTCTATTAAGCATGGAAAGAATGTATTATAGAAAGACTGCCGTCGAGGAGGGAGATTTTGGTGCTTAACGGGCAAAAACCCAAAACTAAACTATCCAGAAAACTCCGCTGTTTCAGAAAACACTTCCTTCCTCTACTTCTGGTGGGCAGTGGTTTTATTACAAATGACTGTCTGATCACTTACTACCATGTGCTAAAGCACGATGGGAACCTTGCGTGCACACGAAGCCACTGCAGCCAGGCAGGCCGAAGGGTGTGGTAACTTAGTCCACACTAAGTCCACGTGCTACAGTAAAAGTAGTGGGTTCCCATTTACTGAGTAATATCTGTTTATAAGGAAAAGGGTGCTCAGGAGCTGGTTTTTTTCGTTGGCAACGGCTCTGATATACTGTCTGAAGACAAACCATTTCATCCCTTTGTATATCATTGATTCCCTTTCTGGCAAAATGTAGATAATGATTTACCTCTCGGTTTGGTAGGTTTTAAACTGCTACTATGAAATCCTCAAAAATATTTTATCTAAATAATTTAGACCTTAAATAACATGTTTTTAGTCTCTGAAAATTTTTCCAAAAGAACACCTTATAAAGAAACAAACACCTGAAAGCAAATTAAAATAAAAAGTTATTCATACTTCTAAAGAGTCATAAAAGTAATTGGCAGCATCACGGTTGCCGCGTTCTCAAACTAACAAAGCAAGCATGCTCTTCCCACGCACAGCTCTAGCTTCTGTGGAGATAGGAGTTGCTTTCGTGACCTCAATTAAGTAGGCTTTCCTTCTCACCGTTAACTTTTCCCAGCCCAGCAGTGGGATAAGTCAACACACGCCTGTGGCAAAGGTCCCCCCAAATGCTCTCAGAGGGCGAAGTAAAGCCAGGCTAAGCGGGAACGGGGCCGGCCCCACTCACTCCGGCTTTCTCTCCGAGCCTTGACCACGAGCACACACACAAAGGACGCGAGTCAAGACGGAAGGGTGGTCCGAGCTGGGGGGGCCTCCAACCCACGCCCTTAGGAAGAATACAAAATCCTCCGTGTCAGACCTGAGGTCTCTCCCGGGGCCCTGCAAGGGGCCCGAGAGGGAGGGACCCCGAAGCCTGATCTTCGTTAGCTTTATGGTCAATCTACCCCATAAATGATGCTCAAAGTGAAGTTCCGGGACGGGGTAGGAGCTCAGGTGTCACCTACTGCAGTCCTGTCAGTCTGCAGAGGAGAAAACAGGGGGCAGGACAATTAGAGAGCTCCACGTGTCTGGAGGCTACACAGAGGAAGTGAGGCGTCAGGCGGTCCAGAAAGTCTGTACGGAGAGGCCTTGCGAGGGGCCTGGACGGGCTTGGCCAGCTGCCGTGCTGTCGGCGCGTCTCTCCAGCACTGGCCCGGCACAGGTGGAGTTGTGACAGGCAGGAATGACAAGGTCGGGGAGCCTGGGGTGGCGGGGGTGCCAGGGGACAGGTCACGGATCAGAGGCGGGCATCAGAGGCGGGCAGAGAGCAAGGACCGAACAGCAGGCTGCCCCGTGGGATGCAGCTGCAGGCGAGGCCGCTTCCCAAGCCTCTCCCACCCTCCCAATTCCAGACCCCTGTGTCTTTCCCATCAAACTCCCCCCAAGTTCTCTCCACTACCATTTCCAGGTATTCAGCTCCAAAACCTCTTTCCCACGCAACTGCAAAAGCCCCACTATCCTGACCCACAGCTTCAGCGCTCCTCATCCCCCCAGAGGGGCCCTAACCCTGAGATCCGACCACATCACCCTGTTCCCAAATTCCCCACGGTTCCTGCCACGTCCTATCTCCAAGCAATGTCTTCTCTCAGCTCCCCCCCACACCCCACAGGAATGAGGGGCCTCTCTACAACTGCACTCAAGCCCCCTCCTGCCCACCGACTCCCCCCTCCCCCTGCCTCTCCCCTCCCCAACCTCCAGCCTTCACGTCTCACCTCTACAATTCCGCTCAGGCCCCTCCTGCCCACCGACTCCTCCCTCCCCCTGCCTCTCCCCTCCCCCACCTCCAGCCTTCACCTCACCTCTACAATTCCGCTCAGGCCCCTCCTGCCCACCGACTCCTCCCTCCCCCTGCCTCTCCCCTCCCCAACCTCCAGCCTTCACCTCTCACCTCTACAATTCCGCTCAGGCCCCTCCTGCCCACCGACTCCCCCTCCCCCTGCCTCTCCCCTCCCCCACCTCCAGCCTTCACCTCTCACCTCTACAATTCCGCTCAGGCCCCTCCTGCCCACCGACTCCCCCTCCCCCTGCCTCTCCCCTCCCCCACCTCCAGCCTTCACGTCTCACCTCTCACCTCTACAATTCCGCTCAGGCCCCTCCTGCCCACCGACTCCCCCTCCCCCTGCTTCTCCCCTCCCCAACCTCCAGCCTTCACCTCTCACCTCTACAATTCCGCTCAGGCCCCTCCTGCCCACCGACTCCCCCTCCCCCTGCCTCTCCCCTCCCCCACCTCCAGCCTTCACGTCTCACCTCTCACCTCTACAATTCCGCTCAGGCCCCTCCTGCCCACCGACTCCTCCCTCCCCCTGCCTCTCCCCTCCCCAACCTCCAGCCTTCACCTCTCACCTCTACAATTCCACTCAGGCCCCTCCTGCCCACCGACTCCCCCTCCCCCTGCCTCTCCCCTCCCCCACCTCCAGCCTTCACCTCTCACCTCTACAATTCCGCTCAGGCCCCTCCTGCCCACCGACTCCCCCTCCCCCTGCCTCTCCCCTCCCCCACCTCCAGCCTTCACGTCTCACCTCTCACCTCTACAATTCCGCTCAGGCCCCTCCTGCCCACCGACTCCCCCTCCCCCTGCTTCTCCCCCTCCCCAACCTCCAGCCTTCACCTCTCACCTCTACAATTCCGCTCAGGCCCCTCCTGCCCACCGACTCCCCCTCCCCCTGCCTCTCCCCTCCCCCACCTCCAGCCTTCACCTCTCACCTCTACAATTCCGCTCAGGCCCCTCCTGCACGCAGACTCCCCCTCCCCCTGCTTCTCCCCTCCCCAACCTCCAGCCTTCACCTCTCACCTCTACAATTCCGCTCAGGCCCCTCCTGCCCACCGACTCCCCCTCCCCCTGCCTCTCCCCTCCCCCACCTCCAGCCTTCACGTCTCACCTCTCACCTCTACAATTCCGCTCAGGCCCCTCCTGCCCACCGACTCCTCCCTCCCCCTGCCTCTCCCCTCCCCAACCTCCAGCCTTCACCTCTCACCTCTACAATTCCACTCAGGCCCCTCCTGCCCACCCGACTCCCCCTCCCCCTGCCTCTCCCCTCCCCACCTCCAGCCTTCACCTCTCACCTCTACAATTCCGCTCAGGCCCCTCCTGCCCACCGACTCCCCCTCCCCCTGCCTCTCCCCTCCCCCACCTCCAGCCTTCACGTCTCACCTCTCACCTCTACAATTCCGCTCAGGCCCCTCCTGCCCACCGACTCCCCCTCCCCCTGCTTCTCCCCTCCCCAACCTCCAGCCTTCACCTCTCACCTCTACAATTCCGCTCAGGCCCCTCCTGCCCACCGACTCCCCCTCCCCCTGCCTCTCCCCTCCCCCACCTCCAGCCTTCACCTCTCACCTCTACAATTCCGCTCAGGCCCCTCCTGCACGCAGACTCCCCCCTCCCCCTGCCTCTCCCCTCCCCAACCTCCAGCCTTCACCTCTCACCTCTACAATTCCGCTCAGGCCCCTCCTGCCCACCGACTCCTCCCTCCCCCTGCCTCTCCCCTCCCCCACCTCCAGCCTTCACCTCTCACCTCTACAATTCCGCTCAGGCCCCTCCTGCACGCAGACTCCCCCCCTCCCCCTGCCTCTCCCCTCCCCAACCTCCAGCCTTCACCTCTCACCTCTACAATTCCGCTCAGGCCCCTCCTGCCCACCGACTCCTCCCTCCCCCTGCCTCTCCCCTCCCCACCTCCAGCCTTCACGTCTCACCTCTACAATTCCGCTCAGGCCCCTCCTGCCCACCGACTCCCCCTCCCCCTGCCTCTCCCCTCCCCAACCTCCAGCCTTCACCTCTCACCTCTACAATTCCGCTCAGGCCCCTCCTGCCCACTGACTCCTCCCTCCCCCTGCCTCTCCCCTCCCCCACCTCCAGCCTTCACCTCTCACCTCTACAATTCCGCTCAGGCCCCTCCTGCCCACCGACTCCCCCTCCCCCTGCCTCTCCCCTCCCCAACCTCCAGCCTTCACCTCTCACCTCTACAATTCCGCTCAGGCCCCTCCTGCACGCAGACTCCCCCCTCCCCCTGCCTCTCCCCTCCCCCACCTCCAGCCTTCACCTCTCACCTCTACAATTCCGCTCAGGCCCCTCCTGCCCACCGACTCCCCCCTCCCCCTGCCTCTCCCCTCCCCACCTCCAGCCTTCACGTCTCACCTCTACAATTCCACTCAGGCCCCTCCTGCCCACCGACTCCCCCTCCCCCTGCCTCTCCCCTCCCCCACCTCCAGCCTTCACCTCTCACCTCTACAATTCCGCTCAGGCCCCTCCTGCCCACCGACTCCCCCTCCCCCTGCCTCTCCCCTCCCCCACCTCCAGCCTTCACGTCTCACCTCTCACCTCTACAATTCCGCTCAGGCCCCTCCTGCCCACCGACTCCCCCTCCCCTGCTTCTCCCCTCCCCAACCTCCAGCCTTCACCTCTCACCTCTACAATTCCGCTCAGGCCCCTCCTGCCCACCGACTCCCCCTCCCCCTGCCTCTCCCCTCCCCCACCTCCAGCCTTCACCTCTCACCTCTACAATTCCGCTCAGGCCCCTCCTGCACGCAGACTCCCCCTCCCCCTGCTTCTCCCCTCCCCAACCTCCAGCCTTCACCTCTCACCTCTACAATTCCGCTCAGGCCCCTCCTGCCCACCGACTCCCCTCCCCCTGCCTCTCCCCTCCCCCACCTCCAGCCTTCACGTCTCACCTCTCACCTCTACAATTCCGCTCAGGCCCCTCCTGCCCACCGACTCCTCCCTCCCCTGCCTCTCCCCTCCCCAACCTCCAGCCTTCACCTCTCACCTCTACAATTCCACTCAGGCCCCTCCTGCCCACCGACTCCCCCTCCCCCTGCCTCTCCCCTCCCCCACCTCCAGCCTTCACCTCTCACCTCTACAATTCCGCTCAGGCCCCTCCTGCCCACCGACTCCCCCTCCCCTGCCTCTCCCCTCCCCCACCTCCAGCCTTCACGTCTCACCTCTCACCTCTACAATTCCGCTCAGGCCCCTCCTGCCCACCGACTCCCCCTCCCCCTGCTTCTCCCCTCCCCAACCTCCAGCCTTCACCTCTCACCTCTACAATTCCGCTCAGGCCCCTCCTGCCCACCGACTCCCCCTCCCCCTGCCTCTCCCCTCCCCCACCTCCAGCCTTCACCTCTCACCTCTACAATTCCGCTCAGGCCCCTCCTGCACGCAGACTCCCCCTCCCCCTGCCTCTCCCCTCCCCAACCTCCAGCCTTCACCTCTCACCTCTACAATTCCGCTCAGGCCCCTCCTGCCCACGACTCCTCCCTCCCCTGCCTCTCCCTCCCCACCTCCAGCCTTCACCTCTCACCTCTACAATTCCGCTCAGGCCCCTCCTGCACGCAGACTCCCCCCTCCACCTGCCTCTCCCCTCCCCAACCTCCAGCCTTCACCTCTCACCTCTACAATTCCGCTCAGGCCCCTCCTGCCCACCGACTCCTCCCTCCCCCTGCCTCTCCCCTCCCCCACCTCCAGCCTTCACGTCTCACCTCTACAATTCCGCTCAGGCCCCTCCTGCCCACCGACTCCCCCTCCCCCTGCCTCTCCCCTCCCCAACCTCCAGCCTTCACCTCTCACCTCTACAATTCCGCTCAGGCCCCTCCTGCCCACTGACTCCTCCCTCCCCCTGCCTCTCCCCTCCCCCACCTCCAGCCTTCACCTCTCACCTCTACAATTCCGCTCAGGCCCCTCCTGCCCACCGACTCCCCCTCCCCCTGCCTCTCCCCTCCCCAACCTCCAGCCTTCACCTCTCACCTCTACAATTCCGCTCAGGCCCCTCCTGCACGCAGACTCCCCCCTCCCCCTGCCTCTCCCCTCCCCCACCTCCAGCCTTCACCTCTCACCTCTACAATTCCGCTCAGGCCCCTCCTGCCCACCGACTCCCCCCTCCCCCTGCCTCTCCCCTCCCCACCTCCAGCCTTCACGTCTCACCTCTACAATTCCACTCAGGCCCCTCCTGCCCACCGACTCCCCCTCCCCCTGCCTCTCCCCTCCCCCACCTCCAGCCTTCACCTCTCACCTCTACAATTCCGCTCAGGCCCCTCCTGCACGCAGACTCCCCCCTCCCCACCGTCGCCTGGTCCAAGCTCATCGCCGCCAGCGAACCCGTCCTCTCTCTCTGCACGGGCGCTGGACCCCGCTCAGGAAAGCCCAGGGGTGGCTGGGGGGAGGCGCCCAAGCCGGAGCCGCGGGCGCAGGGGTCAGGGGTCAGCCGCGCGGCGGGGCAGCCCGGGGCGCGGCCCCGGAGGGGGGGAGGGGGAGGGGGAGGGGGAGGGAGGGCGCCGCCGCGGCGGGCCGGGCGGCCGGGGAGCGAGGCGAGGACATGGGCGGAAGGGGCGGGAGGGACAGCGCGGCGCGCCCCGGGGTCGCGGAGCCGGGCGGGCGGCGCAGGCCTACCTAGAGATGCGCCAGCACAGCCACGGACGCGCCGCTCCGCCCTCGGCCAGCCGCAGCCCGCCGCGCACTTCCGCTTCCGCTCGGCAGCTTCCGCTCGCGGGACCGCCCCCGCGGGGGCGGGGCCTGCGCGGGGGGCGGGGCAGCGAGCTGCGCAGGCGCCGCGCCCGTTGCCTCGGCAACAGCGCGTGCTTCCGAGGTCGGGGTCGCGCGGGCGGGGGCCTCCCGCGGGCGTCGGCGGGGCAGCGCTGCCTGCTGGCGGGCGGCTGGCGGGCGGCTGGAGGCGGCTGGAGGGCGGCTGCCCGGGCCCGCCCCCCGAGCCCGGAGCCCCCGGACCCGGAGCCCCCGGCGCCCGCGGCTCTTCTGGGGTGCGAGCCCCCCGCCCCCCCCCGGCCTCCCCTGGGCCCGCTCCCCGGCAGGGCGTGTCGCCCTCCGCCTCCCGGGCTGCACCCCCGAGCGCTCGGGCTGCAGCCCTGCGGACGCAGGGGGCGCGGAGGGGGGCCCGGCCGGTGCCCTGCAGCCCCGAGTGCCCGGCGAGCGGGTCACCTGCCTGCACGCGCCGCCCTGACCTCTGCGACCACCTTAGGACCAGCAAGGGGGCGCCCGGGGGCTCAGGGCGTGACCCCGGGTCAGCATTGGGCTCCCTGCATGGGGCCTGCTTCTCCCTCTGCCTGTGTCTCTGCCTCTCTCTGTGTCTCATGAATAAATAAATAAAATCTTAAAAAAAAAAAAATAATAAGACCAGGAAGGCTCACACTCGGGACACGCACCCTTAGGCCCCGATGTCAGCAGCCCCTCCCCGAGCTGGGGGCCACCCTTTGCTCTGCCTACAGTGGAGACACTGTCTTGGTAGCCAGGTGTGATGGCAGGAGAATAGCCTTTAAACCAATCTAACTTATTTTTTTTAATTTTTTTTATTTATTTATGACAGTCACAGAGAGAGAGAGAGAGGCAGAGACACAGGCAGAGGGAGAAGCAGGCTCCATGCACCGGGAGCCCGACATGGGATTCGATCCCCGGTCTCCAGGATCACGCCCTGGGCCAAAGGCAGGTGCCAAACCGCTGCGCCACCCAGGGATCCCTAATCTAACTTATTTTTAAGTAAATCACTGACAAACTAAAATTATTAATGATGCCAATTTATCTAAGCTGCATCTCAGGACCTGCCCTACGTAGCCTATCTCAGCAGAGCTGCTGCAAGCCCTGGGGACCCAGAGGCTTCCGTTGAAGTGAACCAACCCAATGCTGTTCCCGTCAGAATCCCTTGCAGAACACGGACAGATCAAGCCGTCAAGAACCATTACCCAGCCGAAGTGACAGCACGTCCGCGTATGAAGTTTTGGAAGGAGTCTCTCCACTCAGCCTACAAGGCTTTCCTCTCCTGTTGATCTTTTCTTAAAAAAGGTAAAATGAACAGTGCTCAGCACCCACCACTGGCTGGGTGCCACACCAAGAAGGAGGTACAGTCTCTAGTCAAGGAGCACACGTTGCGGCAGGGAAGGAAAACCAACATACATTTAATACTAGGAAACAAGTGAGACAGTGAAGGTCTGTAATGTGGCAGCCAGGAGCTAACGTGTAAACAGCTGGAAGGAAGTGGGATCTCAGAACTGGAAGAGGAAGGTCTTGCAGGCAGAGGTGCACCCCAGAAAGGGACGGGGTCGGATTTGAGGGGGTGCAGAGGGCGAGCAGGGACTCCTCTCCATGTGCAGAGCCAGACAGGACGCAGGGGGCAGCGGCCAGCAAAAGCCCTCACTGAGCGCTCCCACAAGGCCCACCGCTTGGCAGTCTTATCTACCTCATAGAGCTTCCAATAAGCTTCTCTGCCTCCTTCCTAAATGTACACATATGACCAAGGGTCAACAGGCATCTGAGGAAGACAGACAGAAAAAAAAAAGGAGAAAACAAAGTAGGAAGAAGAAAAATACAAGAAACATTATTGTCTGCAGCCTCTGAAGATAATAGATCCGTGAAAGAGACACAGAGGAGTATATGAAAGAACATCCCAAAAAGATGTTCCCTTGAAAATTATACAAGAAATGATAAATTTATAATGTTTAAAGTTAGAATATAAATCTGATATCTCTCATATATTAGAACAAAAAGAATAAGAAATGGAGAAAGAGAAAACATAAGAAAATTAGAAGATTAAAATTTGACATTGGGACACCTGAGGGGCTCAGCAGTTTAGCACCGTCTTCAGCCCAGGGCGTGACCCCGGGGGGGGGGGTCCCGGGATCAAGTCCCACATCGGGCTCCCTGCATGGAGCCTGCTTCTCCCTCTGCCTGTGTCTCTGCCTCTCTCTGTGTCTCTCATGAATAAATAAATAAATAAAATCTTTGAAAAAATAAAATCTGGGGAAAAAATTTGATGTGTGAAAAATGGCAATTCCAAGAAAAGGAACAGAGAAAATGAAGAGGAAATTCCTCAAGAAGTAATTCAGGGGATCCCTTGGTGGCTCAGCGGTTTAGCACCTGACATTGGCTCAGGGCGTGATCCTGGAGTCCCAGGATTGAGTCCCGTGTTGGACTCCCTGCATGGAGCCTGCTTCTCCCTCTGCCCGTGTCTCTGCCCCTCTCTCTCTCTCTCTCTCTCTCTCTCTCTGTCTCCCATGAACAAATAAATAAAATCTTTGAAAAAAATAAAATCTAGGGAAAAAATTTGACATGTGAAAAATGGCAATTACAAGAAAAGGAACAGAGAAAATGAAGAGGAAATTCCTCAAGAGGTAATTCAAGAAAACTTCCTGGACCTAAGAGACATGTTCTCCCAGAACAACGAACCTGCAATGATCTACACCAAGGCACATCACGAAATTTCAAGACAGCAGGGATAAAAAAATATCTTAAAAAAAAAAAAGATCTTTAAACATTTCCATAGGGAAAAATGAAAAGGTCACATGTAAAGTTTAGTAAATCAGAAGGGCATAGGAATCCTCAAGGAATTTAGGAAGCTGAAATTCAATGGAGATTTAACTTCAAAGTTCTGAAGAAAATAATTCTAACATGGAATTCCAATCTCAATCAAAATATTAGTTAAGTGTGAGGATAGAATAAAGATATATTGGGGTATGTGACTTAAAAATACTATCTCCCAAATACTTTATTCAGAAACCTGCTGAGGGATACTCTTCAAAATTAAGAAGTCAAGAAAGAGTAACATTTAGGACTTGGGTACCGGAGAACCCACATGAAGAGAGGAGCAGAGTCCTAGCTAGAGACCGCGTATGTTGGAGCAGGCGGCCGGCCTCCCAGAGAGGCAGTGCCAGGAAGGTGAGCCCTTGGAACACCTGATGTGTCTGAATATTTTAAAAGATCTTTGGAGTTCGGTGATGGTAAGCAATAGGTACACAGAAAAGTCAATAAGCAAATAAATTAGGCAATTATTGAATCCAGTAAAGAAAAAAAAACTGTACAAAAAAGAAAATGTAATCACAGCATATAACTCAGCATGAATAATTACATATTTTAATAAGGTAAATAAGGAATGGTAATTTAATATAAAAGGATGCCATAATTACTTTTTGGGAAAAAAAATGGGCTGGGCAGTGAACTTCTATGAGTTCATAGAAATCCAGTGAAAGAGCTAAATCTTCATCAGCTAGATCTGGGACGTCCATAGACAATATACACAAGTGAAAAAAAGACATAGCATTAGAGACTTTTTAAAGAAATAGACAGGGGGATCCCTGGGTGGCGCAGCGGTTTGGCGCCTGCCTTTAGCCCAGGGCGCGATCCTGGAGACCCGGGATCGAATCCCACGTCGGGCTCCCGGTGCATGGAGCCTGCTTCTCCCTCTGCCTGTGTCTCTGCCTCTCTCTCTCTCTCTCTCTCTCTCACTGTATGACTATCATAAATAAATAAAAAATTTTAAAAAATCATCAAAAAAAAAAAATAGACGAGTAGGGACGCCTGGGTGGCTCAGTCAGTTAAGCATCCACCTTCAGCTCAGGGCCTAATCCCATGGGCCTGGGATTGGGCTCCCTGCTCAGTGGGGAGTTGGCTTCTCCATCTCCCCCCACCTGTCCCCACCCCACTGGTGCTTTCTCCTGCCATCTCTTTCTCTCTCTCTCTCACTCTCTCTGTCAAATAAATAAAATCTTTAAAAAGAAATATGAGGGATCCCTGGGTGGCGCAGCGGTTTAGCGCCTGCCTTTGGCCCAGGGCGCGATCCTGGAGACCCGGGATCGAATCCCACGTCGGGCTCCCGGTGCATGGAGCCTGCTTCTCCCTCTGCCTGTGTCTCTGCTTCTCTCTCTCTCTCTCTTTCTGTGTGACTATCATAAATAAATAAAAATTAAAAAATATATTTAAAAATAAATAAATTAAATAAAAAGAAATATGAGAGTAAATTTAAAAAAAATAGCTAAGAGTTAAGTTAGAGGAAGGAATTAAGTGGGAATGTTTGGTGTGGGCAATTGTTTTTTTTTTTCTTTTTACAAATCTAGAAATACCATTTGAATTTTAAAATCTGTATTCCTTTGATAAAAGGAAAAAATTTTAACTTCAAGTTTTAAAAAGTTAAGTAACTTGTACAAGTGGTAGTAAGTGGCACAACTATTGCTCAAATTCACACCTGTCTAAATTCTATAAGCCTCTAAAAATTTTTTTTACAATTATAGCGCACGAAGTGAAGGGAAGGAGAAGTCAAAGATTCCTCTGCAGGCCTCTTTCCCAGGACACTAGAAGAGAAGACGCGCGGGGATACCAGCGGAGTACAGAGAAGGAGCTGTGTGGGACTATTCGCGGCCTTTCCCCACCTCCTGCTTGACACCACACTTTCCTAGGCCCTATTGCCCTATTGTGCACATCACAGGTCAGCTTCAGAGGTGCCTGGGGGCGCAGTCAGTAAGCGCCCAACTCTTGGTTTAGGCTCAGGTCCTGCTCTCAGGGTCCTGTTGGATGGAGCCGTGTAGGGCTCCGTGCTGAGCGCCCAGATTCTCTCTCCCTCCTGCCCCTCTCCATAATGGAAGAAGGAAAGAAAGAAGAAAGAGACGAAAAGAAAGAAAAGAAAAGAAAAGAAAAGAAAAGAAAGAAAAGAAAGAGAGAGAGAGAAAGAAAGAAAGAAAGAAAGAAAGAAAGAAAGAAAGAAAGAAAGAAGAGAAAGAAGAGAAGAAAACAGTTTGGGGGAGAATCTAAAACTGGGAGGGCAGATTTATGTAAAAAAAACAGGAAGGGAAGGAAGAAAAAACTGAACGTACAGAGAAGGGAGTGAAGGGGGAGAGTAAAACGTTGAAGAGAAAGACTTCATTCACATCAACTGTGAGAAAGAGAAGAAACATGGAGCATGAGAAGAGTTTGGGAAGGATGGGATTAGGGCCGCTTGGTCTTGATAACAGTCTTCAAAATTTATTTGGAGTTACTTTTAATTCTATTTGTAATTTCTTCGAATGCAACGACCACATGGGTTGATGCAGTTCCATTTGAATAAGAGTTCACCACCCAAAAATTGGGAAAGAAAAAGCCACAACCCTAACGACACGCTGACCTCCGCGTGGTTGATCACCCTAAATACTACCCGAGGGTTTACTGCAGACACCAAATGGCCGCAGGAAGAGAACGTGCCTCTTCCTGCACTGGCCGCCATGGGATTAGGGGCGACTCCAGGGCCCGGCAGCCCCCATGCCGTCGTGGAAGGGCGCTAGCCCAATGTCTCAGCCACCAGTGTGGGGACAGTGGAGCAGAAGGAAGGGGCACCTGGTGCCAGGACAACGTGGTTGAGCCAGAACCTACTAACGGGGCTGCTCCACCTCCCGACTGGGATGACGTCCCTGCCTTGTGGGCAAGAGGGCTGAATTCGGATTTCCTGTTACTTGCTGCTGGAAGTATCCTGTTTCAGCTCCTGCCCATGAAGGGGTAATTCCTACAGAACTTGTCCTTCCACTTTAAACAACTAGAAAACTAGACAAAATACATGCAATGACTATTTTCAGACAGTGGACAGCAGGAAGTGGAGGATGGAGGTTCCTGAAGGAAGGAAAACAAGCCCAGTGACTGCCCTGATTTTCTGCCGAGATCAGCAAAGAAAATCAGTGCGACAAAAGATCAAAGAAGCTGATGAGCCTGTAGCCATATTGGCCACAATAAAGGCAGAGATCACCCAGCCTGGACGGAAGGTGCTCGAGGGTTACCCAGAGACTGTCCGAGCAACGAGCAACGGTAGAGGACATGGACAGATTCCTTGAGCCAAAGAAATTACCGAGGCTGCCCGGAGAAGACATAGAAAATCTGAGTAACCCTATTTATTAAGTCATATATTTATTTGTTAAATTGAATGTCCAAGTAAAAACCTTCCAACAAAGAAAACTCCAGACCCACGTAGCCTCAGCGGTGAATTCTGTCAAACATTCAGGGAAGACCTATGAGTCCTATACAAACCCTTTCTGAAAATAATAGACTTCTCTGCTCACCGAGGCGGGTCTAACTTGACTTTGGACCTCCAGCCCCAAAGACAGGTGAGTGCGTGAATGAATCAGGGAGTAAACGCCCGCCGTGTGCTTCGGGCAAGTGGGTCTGATGGTGGCCCCAGCTGTGAGCAGGGATTTCCATAAGCCAGTCACGGTTTTCCCATTTTCCTTGACTGTGGCTGGCTCTGTGGTGACCCTATCACCTCGCTGGAGCCACCGAGAAGTGAAGGTGGTGGTGGGTCATTCCTAACACACTCACACCGGGCCCTGCAATCAGCCGTATTTCTTGCCTCGAGGAACCCACTCACATAAACAGGAACAGTTCCAACTACCATGAAAAGGAAGCACCAGGTTTTGACTGTTCCTAAAAAAATCCAGACTCACCAACACGCCCCTACATCCCTTCCAGCAGTGACCAGCGTACATTTTGAAAACACTCCAGCCATTAGATATTAGTGACAATGACTGATAAACACAGCCACGGCCCTGTTCCCATTTGCCTAAACGAAGACTGTATTTTTCAGGCGAACCTTGATGGCCTGCCAGTGCCGTCCCCGTTCTGTGCCCTGGGAAGGTGGCACAGGAGAACGACTAATGATTTAATGGTGTGCAGGGGGGAAAGCGTTGGAAAGCAAGGAATGCTCTCAAGAAAGCATGCCTTACATTTTGAATTAAGAAATGTGCTGATTTGAAGGTGAAAAGACATTTGCCTAAATTTGTCCCCTCTTTTTTTTCCTCCAATACTTAGGCTGTTTATTGGGGTCCCTTTCTCTCCAGCCCATTTGCTGGAGTAGGGCTTTGCAAAGCCGGTCTCCTAGCAGCCGAGTGCAGAAGGCCCATTCGTATTACAATGGACGGGAAGGAAAGAAAGAGCCTGGTCTGTTTAAACTGCCTCTGTCTTCATTCACAGCCTGATGTCCGCCTGCATTGTGACACCCACAATGGCACTAAAGGACTCATTGTGGCCGAAAACAAATCAAAACAGAATAAGGGACGCTAAGATAAAAGAGTCATGCAGCAAAATTGCTTAAAAAATCTAAGTCTTACATCTGAGATTTATGTTACCTTTTGGCTGTGTGGCCTATTGACCGGTGTTTATAATAACCACTAGAGTTTAATAAACAAAAAGATAAATGGGGACTTCATGTACATTTTTAAGGGCGCTTCCACAGAAAGGGTGGGTTTGCTGGGTTGGGTTGGACGCTGTTTAATAATTATCGTTCTTTGTTTGCACAACATTTGGGGAGCCACACTCCGCACTCTGTGTTTATTTTCCTCCTGATCAACATGCCCGAGCTATGCCCATGTGGCCCAACAGCGTCCCCCACACAGTGGCTCCCACCCACCCCCCACCCCCTGCCCGAACCAACATCAGATGTTGCGAGAACCCACGCCCAGTTCAGCAGGCAACAGGTGGAAGGTTGAATAGCTTCACACGTTTTTCGGGAGAGGGGGTGGGGAGAAAGAGAGAAAAAAAAAGGGAGGGCGGGAGGGCAGGCTTTTGGGAGCCGATTTAAGGATTAGATCAGATGTTATTGCTAGTGAAAAATTAAACAGCCCGGTGCTCTGGGGAGTGCAGATTAATATATTTAGTGACTGTGCGCACAAAGGCTGCTCATTGTGGCCACGTCTGAATGCCTGTGAATAGGATGGAACATATGCGGCCTGTCACCGCAGGTGCCCACATCTGTTCTTCCCCGGGCAGATGCTCACAGAAAAGGGGAGGTGGGAGGCCGGGGAAGGACAGCGGCCTCGGAGGCCTCGCCGGGCCCAGGGCTGCGCGGTCCGGCGCGGACTCCGTGGGGCGGGCGCGGCCGCGGTTCCGGGGGACTCGCTTTGGGGAGGGGGGGGGTAGCCCAAAGCCCCCGGGCCCCGCCCCCGCCGGCCGCGTGATTGACGGGCCGCCCCGGGGACGCGGCGACAGGTGCCCGAGACCCCCCGGGCGGGGCGCGTCCTGGAGAGCAGTCCCGGGGCCCGGCGGGCCGGGGGCGCCCCTCGACGCCTCTTCTTCCCTCCTCATTGTCTGCGGAGCCCCGGGCCGCGGCGTCCAGGTGCGGGCGCTCGTGCAGGTGACGGAGCCGCCCGGGGGCGAGGGCGCGCAGGGCCCCCCCCCCAGCCCCCGGCGCGTCCCCGCCGCCCACCTGGGCCGCGCCGCACCTGCCGGGCCCGCGTGAGGTCCCGCCCGCGCGCGCGCGCCGCCGCCGCCTCCGGGAAGCCCTCGGGCGCTGCGCCCCGCCCGGTCCCCGCGCGCTCAGCCGCGGCCGAGCTCGAGGGGCGGCTGGGGCGGGCGCGCGGCGGCGGAGCAGCTGCGCGGTCATCCGATCCCGGACAAAGGCGCGCCCGCCGGTGCCGCGCCAGGTAAACACGCGCTTTGTCATGGAGATGAGCGCGGGGCGGCCGAGCAGATGATCCGCGGGTCCGGGCGCGGCGGCCGCGGCGGCCGGGGGAGGGGCGCGCGGGGGGTGGGGACCCGTCATCTGCGCCGGGGCCGCCAGCTGAGCACGCGACTCGCCCTTTCTCATGCAAATCAGCACATGCCTTTGCAACTCGCGGCAGACCTGCGGCCTCCGCCGCCGCCCCCGCGGAGCTGGGGTGTCCCCCGGGCGCCGCACCCCGACAACCGGCCACGTGGGGCCCGGGCAGCCCTCGCTTCCGCGCCGCGGCCGCAGCCCCGTCAGGGCACAAAGGTCACGCGACACGCCGTGACCCTGCCCCGCGGGAAGGCCGGGCCCGTCCGGCGGGTGCGCTCCGAGCGGCCGGGCCTGGGCCTGCGCCTGCGCCTGCGCCTGCGGGGGAGGCCTCGGGAAGCTGCCAGAGCGCGCCCCCCGCGCCCCCCTGCGCCCCCCGCGCCCCCCTGCGGCCCCCTGCGCCCCCCGCGCCCCCGTGCGCCCCCCGCGCCCCGGGCCGGGGCCAGCTCCAATGAGGGCGCCGCGCGCGCGGGGGGGGGGGGGGGGCCTCCCGGGGTCGCTTCCCTGCGGCCACAGGCCAGCGACCCGGATCTGGGTGTGGGCTCTGCCCGCTTGCCCGCGGCGCGGAGGCTGGCTCGGGTCACAGGTGTCTCCCCCTAGACACCACCGTGGCTGCGTCAGGTCTCCAAGGTCTCCACCAGTCTGCAGAGCCGGGGCGGCCTGCGGGTGCCTCCGGCGTGCGGTCACCCGAGACGGGAACATCTGTGGGAGCCACCCCGGGCACAGAGGTTCCACCCGAGGGGCCTCGGGGCCTCGGGGACTCCCAGCCAGCTGCTCCAGCCCCCCCATCTTAGCCACTTCAGGATTCCAGAACTGCCCCGGGGAGCTGCGGGCCGCCACTCGCGCAGGGGACCAGGGCCAGGGGCGCAGTCAGCGGTGCCCTCATCGCCCTGCTGGGCACGGAGAATAAGCTTCCCAAGTGAGGCTTATGGAGCAGGGGCGCTAGGTAGGATGTGCAGGTGGGGGCGTGGTACTGACCAGGCGCCCTGGTTTCGGCCTCCGCCCCTTGTTCTTCAGGTAACCTGGCATGTTTGATCAACGCCAGATTTGCTGCCTGGAAGTTCTTTATTTTTTTATTTTTTATTTTGTTGTTCAGAACAAGGACCTTAATTCTTCTCGGCAATAAGGGAACCTCTCTGTTGGGTATACAGTATTCAGTGGGTCTAAGAAAACACAAACACCACTCCAGTCTCCAGACTTGTTTACACAGAAAACTGAACCCGTGGCTAGCTGGGAGTCTGGAGCCTATTCTGGGCATTGTGTTTTGCAATCTGCCCAGACCCTCCCTCCTCGACCCAGCGCCACCGGCACACTCACACCTTGGGCACAGAACCTTCCTCTGGGCGAAAGGGGATTGAAACAGGCTTGGGTGACCGCAGTATTTGGTCACACCACCACTGAGGACTGGGGTGTTTAGTTTTATAGACTGATGGCTGTGAGCTTTAACTCCCAAGTGGCCTAATGAAATGGCGGGGAAGATAAGCAGGGTCCCCCCCCAGTAAACAGCGCTCAGCTGTGGCTGTCGTGGCCCTGGTCCGGATCACACAACCTGAGCCTACCTTGGCCACTGGCGTTCTTCAGGCTACGAGCTGAGCGTGCCTGGCAAAAACAAACCACCACCACCAGGCGGCAAATCTCTCTGTCCTCTCCTGCGTCTGATGGATTGGGCGCCTTCTAAGCCCTAATGAGCCTCACTTTGTACAGTAAATTTGCTGAGAAATCAAAAAGTATTTAAAAGAAAGTTTCCTCCTTTTTTCCTAATGAGCAAGGTGAGGATTTATGGTGTGCAGGGAGGAGGGAATCTGGCTGCTAGGGCCAACGTGGAGGCAAGCCTTTTAACATACTCTAGCTTAAGCTCCCTCCTGCATTTAGGGGGTTCAGAGCGCTTGGTTGCGGGAGTATAGAGACATGCAGTTAGGGAGTGAAAAAACGCCATTTGGTTCGGAGCAGATGGCTGGCTAGGGGGCTGATGGCGTCTAAAGGCGTGTCATCCCCCTTCAGCCTGAATCCCTAAGGGCTCCCCTTGTCTTCCCAATCAATGAAAATTAAAGTGCAAAGAAAGGATGAATAGTTGGACCTCGAGTCTCGCCTTTGTTCATCTCAGCTACTGGTGTGCAGGAGTTAAACTACAACAGGCCCCCACAGAAACACAGAAGTTAAACAGTCTCCCGTTAGCTCAGCTTTGAAAGGGAGAGGGGGAGAGGGACCAGCGTGAGGTGGGGGAGAGGGAGAGAGGGAGAGAGGGAAGGAGGAGGAGGAGAGGAGGAGGAAGATGAGGAGGAGGAGGAGGGAGGAGGAGGAGGAGGAGGAGGAGGAGGAGGAGAGAGGAGGAAGAAGAAAAAAGAGGAAAGAACAGGAGGAGGAGGAAGGAGAAGAAAAGGGCTTTCTGCTTGATTTCCCCAATACAGAATCGCGTGGCATAAATTAAGTTGGAAAAGAATGAACGCTTTGGGCAGGATTCTGATGGATTTTACGATGCCTTTCAGTTCCGCTTTGCCGCTGTAATCGAGAAATCTGTGCCACGTCAATTTAACAAATACTTGATACTGAGGGGGGTTTGTTAAAGATTTGGGGCAAGTCTTTTTCCCCAAGGTTTAAGCCCTTGCGCGTGGAACTTTTTATTTCCAGTTTTCTAAACAGGCATTCAAATGAGACTGTTTCACACTTCCATTTTCTAATTAAAAGGTTCCTGAAATTTCATTTCTTACTGAAATCTACTCTCGTCTCCGAGGCACAGAGGATTTAGAGCTCACATTCCTTTCTTCTTTTGTGGCTCCCCGGCTCCTGGCACCCTCTCACCTCCCCCCACCCCTGCTCTCCCCCCACCTCTCTCTCTCTCTCTCTCTCTCTCTCTCTCTCTCTCTCACACACACACACACACACACACACACCAGCTTCTATGCTGTAGAGAGCAAAGTTCTCAGAAATTAGCTTTCAGAGGAAACATGGATGTAGTGAAAAAAGGATGCTGACACTAGGTGGCAAGATTAAATTAGGATTCACGCTGACCGGGCCCTGTGGGGATGCAGCCCGTCCTAAAGGGCGGCCACACTGGGATCGCCACCGTCCCGGGGGTGCAGTATCTTTGAAGTCTCCATTTGTTCTCAGCCAAGCAGTAGGGGTTCTGGTGGAGTCCGAGCCTGCCTTTCTCACCTCACCCTTACATGCGTGCTACTTCCCACCAATCCCTTGCTTCCCTACGAGGCAGGCGGCGGTGGAAAACCTAACGTGCACGGATCTGTCAGCCCGGAAACTTTACAGGTATTTGAAAGCCCAAGAGGCAAGGTTCTTGCCGCCTAACAGCCAGAGGGATGGCCACGGTTGACCGCACCAAGCGGTTTTTAGATTGCTGTCGACACTTGGTAGTCTCCCTCTTCCGGGCATCGCTCCATAGATACCCTGACCTCCACACCCGCCGCAGTGCAAGTCACATCTGCCGGGACAGTGCGGTGCCCACCAAGGAGGTGGCCGTGGCACACCTGCAGCGAGGCCACTGTGGCCAGGCACCTGCGGCCGTGCCCCAAGCAGCCACCCTGACTCCAACATTCGCACCTCCCAGCAGAATGGAGCTGCTGCCTTGGTGCCGCGGAGGCTGAGCAGGAGCACCCGGGCCGGGCGGGAGACCGTGGAGTGAGCCGGCACAGGCACGGGCACGGGCACGGGCACGGGCACGGGCACGGGCACGGGCACCGAGCGGGATGCCGGAGTAGGGCTCTGCGCCCCACCTCACTCCTGCGCGGAGCTCGGAAGCATGAGAGCAATTTGGGTAACTCATTGTGTGATACGTGTGTCCTCGGCCCTCCCAATAAACTCATTTCCCTTTAAAAAAATGAAAACAAAAGTTCTAGTGTCTGACGGACGTGTAAAAACCTAATAAGGTGATGGTCGTGTAAAGATTTCGGGCCGGGGGGGCCGGGCCGGAGGGCCTTTGGAACATGTGCCGGACATTGTTGCAGAGGCCGCGGCGCGCGCGGAGGGGAGCTCTTTCTCTCGGCATTGTGCGGGGAGCAGGTGCGGTCTGCATTACCATACAGCTGAGCGCACAAAGAGCCACTGATTCAGGCCTGCACAATAACAGAGTGCCCTAATGACAGCCACGCGAGCGACACACACCAAACTCACTTTTACCCGGCGGAGGGGGGAATGCCCAGGAGAGAGGGCTGGGCGCCCGGGAGAGGTGGCGGTGGCCCAGACCTGCTCCGGGAAGGGCGCGCGCGCGCGGGGTGGGGCGCCAGGGTCTCCCCGCCGGCGGTGGGGCGGTGGGGCGGTGGGGGCGCCCCCCAGGCCCCGCCCGCGCCCCGCGGCCTCCGGCCGGCGCAGGGGCCCGCGGGCGCGCGGACGCGGGGGTCCCGGGGGCGCCGCGCCCCTCCCCGGCCGGCCGTGCCGCGGCTCTGCGCTCCCGGGCGCACGGGCGCCGGCCCCGGCCAGACCTCCCCAAACTTCCCGAAACTGCCGCGGCGCGCGCCCCCCGCCGCGCCCCCGCGGCCCGGCCTTCCCGGAGAGGGCGCGACCCCGCGGCCCCCGGACCCGGGCCGCGGGCGCGCGGGGGGCCGGCGGGGACGGCGCGGCCCCGGACACGTCCCCGGGCGGCTCCCGGCGCGCGGCCCCCGGCGGGGCGGGAGGAGCGGCGCCGCCCCCGCGCGCCCCCGCGCGCCCCCGCGTGTCCCCGCGCGCCTCGGCGAGCCTGCCCGGCGGCACGGCCAGGGCCAGGGCCAGGGCCAGGGCCAGGGCCAGGGCCAGGGCCCGGCGGCGGCCCCGCCTCGGGAGCGGGAGCGGGAGCGGGAGCGGGAGCGGGAGCGGGAGCGGGAGCGGAGCGGTCCTCGCGGCGAGCGTTTCGCAGGAATGTAAATGAGCGCGTTTTGTGTGGTGCGGGGCGGGGGCGGGGCGGGGCGGGGCGGGGCGGGGGCGGGGGGCCGGGCGGGGGCGGTGGGGGCGGGGAGGAGGTTGCACATTTTACAGCTCACTGACCATTTGGCGATCCATTGAGAGGAGGGCTTGGAAAAGTGGCTCCTTTGTGACAGCGCTCGCCAGATTGGGGGGCTGCGCATTTGCATCTCATTAGCCATGCGGGCGGCCGGCGGGATATAAGGGCGGCGGGCGCCGGGAGCGCAGACCTCGGCGCGCACCCGCGGACGCGGCCGGCCCAGCGCGCTCCGACGCGCCGCCGTGGCGCAGCGCCTCCCCGCCGCCCGCCGCCCGCCGCCCGCCGCCCCGCGCTCGGACCCGCGCTCGGACCCCGCGCCGCGGGCGTGGATGGCACCGGCTGGGCGCCCCGGGAAGACGCGCGCGTCCGCGGGGGCGCAGGGGACCCGAGTGCGGGGCGCAGCCGGCGCCGCCGAGTGAGCCGGGCCGGGCCGCAGGGCGCGCTCCGCGGGGCCCCGGGGCCGCCGCCTCGCCCGCGGGACTGCAGCCGCCGTCGCCCCGGGCCCGGAGGAAGCCGCGGCGGCGCGCCGGGAGTCGCGCTGAGCATCGGGACGCCTCCCCGCCCGGGCTGTCGCTCTACTTCCGTTCGAAGAAGCTCGAGTCCAAACCGGGAGGCAGACGACCCCCACCTGCGGGCGGCCTGGAAGGAAGAGCAGGAAAACCGAAAGTTGCCGCGGCACCGCCCCCGCCCCCTCTCCCGCGCACCCCGGAGAGCGCGTCCCCCGCGCTGGGCGGCTCCGAGCCCGCGGCCTCCGCGGCCCGGGAGCTCCCGGGGGTCCGCGCGCCCGGCCCCGGCCCCGGCCCGCCCGACCCAGCCCGCGCGGGGCGCACGTCCGCCATGGGTCGCTGCGCCCTCGCCCTGGCCGTGCTGTCGGCCCTGCTGTGCCAGGTGAGCGCGGGCGGGGCGGGGCGGGGCGGGGCGGGGCGCGGCGCGGGGCGGGCGGGGGGCGCGGGGGGGACGGGACGGGGCGGGCGGGGGGCGCGGCTGTCAGGCCCCCGCGCGCCCTCCCGCGCCCCCGCGCGCCCTCACGCGCCCTCACGCGCCCTCACGCGCCCCGCCCGCCGCCCGCCCGCAGGCCTGCAGCTCCGGGGTGTTCGAGCTCAAGCTGCAGGAGTTCGTCAACAAGAAGGGGCTGCTGGGGAACCGCAACTGCTGCCGCGGGGGCGCGGGGCCGCCGCCGTGCGCCTGCAGGACCTTCTTCCGCGTGTGCCTCAAGCACTACCAGGCCAGCGTGTCCCCCGAGCCGCCCTGCACCTACGGCAGCGCCGTCACGCCCGTGCTGGGCGTCGACTCCTTCAGCCTGCCCGACGGCGCGGGCGCCGACCCCGCCTTCACCAACCCCATCCGCTTCCCCTTCGGCTTCACCTGGCCGGTGAGCGCGGCACCTGCGGCCCGGGCGGGGGCGGGGGGGGGGCGGGGGCGGGGGAGGGGGAGGGGCGGGCCGGGGACGCGGGGAGGAGGCCTCGCGGGACAGCTCCGGGTCCCTGCCCCCGCCGCGCCTCGCCGGTGTAGCCCCGGCCCCCTGCGTGTAGCAACCCCAGCACCCCTGGGTGTAGTCCCCCCCCCCCCGCCCCTTGGGTGTAGTCCCTGCCCCCTGGGTGTAGCCCCCCCCTGCGTGTAGGCCCTGACCCCCTGGGTGTAGCCTCCCCCAGCCCCCTGGGTGCAGCCCGCCGGCCCACCCCAGACTGATGACAACCCCCTAGCCACTGACTCCTGCACGACCTTCTGTCCTTTCCTTTCCTTTTCTTTCTTTTTCTTTCTTTCTTTTCTCTCTTTCAACACGATATCCTGTGCTAACAGGCTGAAAAAACAGTCAGGAAACCACTCTTTAAAAACCTTTTCCATTTCCTTAAGGAAAGTGAAAACAGGCCCTCGCCCGCCGCCCTGCGCACGCAGATCTGCAGGGAGGCCCCCGTCACTCCCTTGGTCCTCCGTCCCCAGTGGCTCATTTTAGGTCTTTAACATTTCTGCTTACTCTTGTGTCTCCTCCTCTTTCTTCCAGGGCACCTTTTCTCTGATCATTGAAGCTCTCCACACAGATTCTCCCGATGACCTCACAACAGGTAAAAACAAACCCCAAACTCCCAAACCGAGTAAAGCGCATCCCTGTTGGTACGTATTTGATTTCGTAAGTCCCCCAGAAACGAGCTCCGACGCCTTTCATTCTGCAAACTCCCGCGTGGGGCTCAGGATGGAGGCTCTTTGGCCTCCTCCCCTCATATGACGCATCGGTTCCAGCCCCCCACCTCGCACCCCAGGCCTCTGGGTTCTTGCTCAGGACCCACGGGAGCATCCTCTTCCCACAGAAAACCCAGAAAGACTCATCAGCCGCCTGGCCACGCAGAGGCACCTGACCGTGGGTGAGGAGTGGTCTCAGGACCTGCACAGCAGCGGCCGAACCGACCTCAAGTATTCCTACCGCTTCGTGTGTGATGAGCATTACTACGGGGAGGGCTGCTCCGTCTTCTGTCGCCCCCGAGACGACGCCTTTGGCCACTTCACCTGCGGGGAGAGAGGGGAGAAGGTCTGCAACCCTGGCTGGAAAGGCCAGTATTGCACTGAACGTGAGTTCTGCTTCCCCCTCCATCGTCCAGGCCGGAGCTCCCAGGGCCTGGGGGCGTGCTCTGAGCCGGTGGCATCCTGGGGCTCGAGCACCGGGGTGAAGCCCTGGTGGGGAGGCTGAGGCCAGAGAGCCGGAGAAACTTGCCAGGACCTCACAGCTAGCCGGTGGCAGGGCTGGGGTCAATGCAGACTTGTAACTTCCGCTATGGGAAGCTGCCTTTCTTAATCAGGGAGGATTTGGGAGACAGGGCCAGGGGTCAGGAAGTGAGCCTGAGGGAGAGGGAGGGGAGGAAGGAAGGGAGGATCACAGGGAAGAGTGTGGGGGGTGGCCATGCTTTCAACCGGTTCTTGCTGTCAAGTGTCTCATTGGAAAAGAGCTTAGTTTTCTCTGTGGGGTTGGGGTGCTTGGCCTGTTTGCAGAGCGAGGCGTTTGCACACATTCTGCGTGTTGCACACACAACGTTAAGGGCATGTTCAGTCGTGGGGCCTGTGGACTGGAGAGACTGTGTCTGCAAGGGCTGCATGGGGAGGCGCCTCTCCTGGGGCAGAAATGCCTTCACAAGAACCGAGTAGGCCCGCCTGCCCCTGCTTCGGGGGGCTCCAGGCAGGCCCGGTGGCCGCGGGGGTTGCAGGAAGCCAGGCTGTGGGCAGCGGGAGGCCCGTGAGGTCTCCACCGGGTCCTGGGCCTGGTTCTGGTTTGCAGGCCTCTCTCACCCAGGTGTCGGGTTTCCCTGTTGTCAGGGGTGGAGCGGTCCGGAGCTCCCCGGAAACCTCCAGCTTGTTCCCTGCCCTGCCCTGGGGCAGGTGAACCTCCAGGCCCTCTGCGGAGGCCCCTCTTGGCCTGGGGGCGCGGGTCCTCACAGCCAGCCTCATTGTTTTGAGCCCCGCCTGGGCCTGAGCTGGCTCCGGGTCGGATGGACTTGCGAGCAGAGCAGCTCGCTGCTGAGTTCCCTAACCCGGGAAGGAAGCCGGCCCTCCCTCCCCGCGCCCCACCGGCGGCGGCCTCGCAGCCTTGCAGCCCAGCTTCCCTCCTTCCTGGGCTTCACCGCGGGGTAGCCATAAACTTAAACTTTTTTCTTCTTATTCAAACACTGGAGTCTCTCCCCGCCCCCAGCTAGCGCGTGCCATCGATTAGATCTCTCCGGGGATAGGCGGCAGGAACGCACGCCGGCTCCCATTGGTGGAAGGGCGCGCGCACTCGCGTGTGTGTGTGTGTGTGTGTGTGTGTGTGTGTGTGCGTGTGTGCGCGCGCGCGCGCGTGTGCGTGCATGTGTGTGTGTGTGTACACGCCGGGTGGGGGGCGAGGGGCGGGGGAGGCGGTATTGTTGCACTGGGGCAGCTGCCGGGGGAGCAGAGACAATAGAGCAGCTGTCTTGCCCTGGTACTCTGCATACCAGCTGTCCACCCTTATCTACACACACACTTTCTGGGTATTAAGAGGTGGAGCTTTGTGCATAGAATTGGGAAGTGGGGGAGGAGGAGGGGGAAGGACTTCTGACCCTCTCAGAAGAAAAGGGGATGGGGTGGGGGTGGGGGCTTCCGTGCTCTTTTGTCCTGGAGCCACTGTGTTAAGCAGAATGCTCGTCCCGGGGCTGCGTGAGGTCCGCAGCCGCTGGGCAGGAGCTCGGGCTCCCCCCGGATGGAGACACCCTCAGGTGGGCCTGCCCGTGGAGCCGCACGCGGCTTCTGTCCCCAGCGCGTGTGGCCGCGGCCCCCTCCGTTGGGGAGGCACGGGGTGGGGCGTGACGCGGTGTGTCCTCTCTCCTTGCAGCAATCTGCCTGCCGGGGTGCGACGAGCAGCACGGCTTTTGTGACAAGCCAGGGGAGTGCAAGTAAGTTTGCAGAAGTGCCTGTTCCCTCTGCTGGTCGTCCTTTCCCGCTCGGTCTACCTGTAAAGTGGCTCTAGGTGATTGTTCGAAACACCCTGGCGCGGTGACGGACCGGAGGGGCCGGAGGTGGCCTGCGGGCGGTTCTCCTCCTCGGTAAACACCGAGGAACGCTAGCGTCCAGGGCTGTCAGTCATCCGAGCTCCTCTGCAGTCACGGGAACGTAGAGACAGCAGTTTGCAAGGAGGTGACATAGGGAGTGAGTCCAGTCCAGCGACTCTGCGGCTCCTCGGCCTGTTAGGACCACCGGGGAGTCTGGAAATGCTGTCCCGGCGGCCCTCGTAGCGGTAGCGGAGGACAGGCCTGAGGCTGGGGCGGTTGCAGAGCCCCCGCGGAGAGTCCCGTGGTCCCCCCCCCGCCCCCCCAAGAGCCAGCGGTGCTGATGCTGCGGGAAGGCGGCGTCTCCAGGGTGGCTGCTGTGTGACCGTGAGCCCGGGGACGCCGGCGCCCGCCTGACCGTCCTGCTGTCCTCCTAGGTGCAGGGTGGGTTGGCAGAGCCGGTACTGTGACCAGTGTATCCGCTACCCCGGCTGTCTCCATGGCACCTGCCAGCAGCCCTGGCAGTGCAACTGCCAGGAGGGCTGGGGGGGCCTCTTCTGCAACCAGGGTGAGCCCCCGTCGCCTTCCAGAGCCCCGGGCTTCCCTGGCTCTCCTGTGGGGAAGGTGCGGGCTCTCTGAGCCTGACCCGGGCCTCCCCGGGCCCCCTCCTGTCTCCGCCCCTCGCAGACCTGAACTACTGCACCCACCACAGGCCCTGCAGGAACGGGGCCACCTGTACCAACACCGGGCAGGGAAGCTACACCTGCTCCTGCCGGCCCGGGTACTCGGGGGCCAACTGCGAGACGGAGATCGACGAGTGTGGCACCAGCCCCTGCAGGAACGGAGGCAGCTGCACGGTGAGTCCGGCCGCGGCGGGTGCTCCCTCGAGCAGGGCCATGCGTCGGGCCGGAGTGCGCGGGGCCCTCGGGGCGGCGTGTGACAGCTCTGTCTCCTCCACGACACAGGATCTGGAGAACGGCTACTCTTGCACCTGCCCACCCGGCTTCTACGGCCGAATCTGCGAGCTAAGCGCCATGGCATGTGCGGACGGCCCCTGCTTCAACGGGGGACGGTGCTCGGACAACCCCGAGGGAGGGTACACCTGCCGCTGCCCTGTGGGCTTCTCCGGCTTTAACTGTGAGAAGAAGGTGGATTCCTGCCGGTCTTCACCCTGTTCTAATGGTAGGAGGGCAGCCCCAGCCGCTCTGAGACTTTGTCAAGCGGTCAACACTGATGATAACGCATTAGAAAGCACGTGCGTTTAATTTCAAAGCAAGCGCATCATTTTGCAAGCTACCCTCCGTTATGGAGCCTTTCAACTAAGCAGTCAGAAACTCTCCACAGTTACCTTG